AGTCACATTTATTACATAAAACACAGACATGTAACATATCCCCAGATAGCTCAGGTCCGAGCGCACATTATTAAGCGAATGGCGCTCAGACCACACGAATACAGTTTAATCGCCATGGAGCCAAAGTCTTTACAGTCAGTTTCATACGAATGGGCTCCATGGGATTACTATCTGGGGTGTAACACATTCAAACAAATCTACCGAACCCCAGGCAGAAAAGCACGAATGAATCTTTTCTGCAGGTAAAAAAAGATGTCTTTTAACAGGGGGCCATAGTCCAAAGGCAGCAGGCGAGCAACCAGGCTTCTCCAATGCAATGTGGCAAGATTGGTCTCGTCACAGCTGTAAACAGCCGAACCGGAACCATACGAATGCTGTAAACAGCCGAATAGGAAAAATCATATGAAAGGTTTACGCTCCTAGTAGTCGAACTGGAACAGCATACAATAAATCTCCCCAAGAACGTGACAAGGCTCCGTTTTGAGGGTCAAGCAGGAACAGACAGAGCTGTGGGTTTATTGTTCTTATGTAAACATTCTTACACATTAGTATCACCCACAGGGTTTTGTAAAACAACCATATAAACATAGGCAATAGGCTCAGACACTCCATCACAAAATCCTCCCCTCTGCCTGTGATACAATCACCTTACACAATGGGTAATGTAATTATCACCGGCAGAGAAATACAGTTTTTCCACATTATTCATAACTTGAAAAGTATGCATCACATTCACATACAACTTACATTTTCAGAATCAGCGTAATCCAAATACAAACATATGTCAAATCATCCAAACTGGTCCATTGGTTCAAAAGATATATCAAAGTCCTTTGTGACCAAATGAAGCATGGCTTTTCTGCCCAAAACCAGTTCCACAGAGTTCTCCTGGAGATAAAGGAAGTAATCCAGCCAAGACAGAGGCAAAACTCCATTGACAGCCTATAGCAATAAAACACAGATATAACTAGGGGAGAGACAAAATAGTACATTAAGTCCCTGGGGGGTGCAGCATACAGCGCAAGTTACTGAATGGCGCTCAGAGCACACACATACAGTTCAATTTGGACAAAGTCTTTAGACATAGGCCATATACTGGGCTCCATGGCATACATCTGGGGTATCACCGCTCAAACAGGGCAAAGGAATTACCCGGCTTTCGTGTCTTTGCAAAAATCAAGAAGGGACATGGGATAGTTCAGAGGAAGGCTTCTCCAATGCAAGGCGACCTCCCCCCCTTTTTCAGCTCTGCTATTTTTATGTGAGATTGAAACAGTGCAATACAGCACCGGCTGGAGTAAGTGGTGCTGTGTAGGAAGTGACAGGGGAAGATCAAAGGTAAGTGAAGGAAATGAGCAGGAAGGGACATCAACAGCCTAGAAAGGGTCAGCAATGATGGAAGTGACAGAAGGAGCACAAGGAAGTGAGGAAGGAGCAGAAATTAGCAGGAAGGGTCTGTAAAGAGCAGAAAGGGACAGAAGGAGCACAAAGGTAAAGGAGCAGGAAGAAACAGAAGGGGCACAAATCTAAAGTAGGAGAAGGAGCATAAAAAGGTCTGCAAGGAGCAGAAAGGGATCAGAAAGAGAAAGGAGCAGAAGGGTGCAAAACAAGCAGAAATGTAAAGGGGTAGGAGGAGTCAAGGAGGAGAGAAGACCGTGTCAGAAAAAAAAAGAAGACTGTGTCAAATGAAGAAGAGGAAATGGAAATTGGAGCAGAAAGGTCAAGTGAAGTGAACCCTCCAATTTATTCTGGACACCACATCATAAAGCTTTGGCACCTAGGCCTGGCAGGGAAACTTTGGACCGTCTCATCTCCCCAGGTAAAAAAAAAATATATCAGTGTTAATGTGTTCAGTGTCGCTGGGTAGGGGTGTCGCTGATTGGCTAGAATAGTCAGCTGGCACTCTAAGCCAATCAGTAGCTCCCCATTCATAAAAAAGTAAAACATTTTTATGAACCGGGAACTAGTGATTGGCTTAGAGCGTCAACTGACAACTCTAGCCAATCTGCAGCACCCATGCCTTACGTCAATCTGCACTTTCTGACATTCTGTTTCAGAAGCCAAATACCACTGAGCGACCTGGAGATCTGAAACTGGAGGAAGCCTTTGGGGTTAAAAGATTTGAGAGCGGTTTAACCCCTTAAAGGAAATAGAGCACCCAGGGGCTTCCTGGCATCATAACATTTTCATGTAGATGAAGTTGTTATGCTGACCAGAATGTTCCTTCAATTTGCTTAAAGGAACACTAGGAATACAAATAAGTCTTCCTGACACCATAGTTGTGAAAACGCTGTTCACCCTGGCTTTATGTGATAATGACTATGCCCCTTCCCTTTCATGACACTGTCAAGAAGTGCTTTGCTTAAAGGAACACTCAGGAATACAAACATGTCTTCCTGATACTATAGTTGTGAAAACGCTATTCACCCTGGCTTTATGTGATAATGACTATGCCCCTTCCCTTTCATAACACTGTCAAAAAGGGACCAAGCATGGATGTCATTACAATTATGCCCCCCACCCCAAAAATTCCTGTGGACGCCCATGTAGCCAACATCCTTTACTCACTTGATAAGTCTTACTGCACTTTCTGAAGAGAGCTGTACCATGCCTTAAACCGTGTTAAACTGTGTTCCTAGCTATATATACCCTGAAGTGGGAGGGAGCAAGGTGACTACAACAGACATTCATCTTTTACCATAAAGATGTAAAAATAAAAGTGTCCTTTCACTGCAATCTGAGAACCATCTGGTGATGTAGAGCAATGGATACATGGCAATAAGCATTGTGCAAATCTATAGACATCACCCAATGTACTAGGAATACTACATTTATGATACTACATTTATAAGAATCCTGTAAACTAGAATGGATTTCATCCACCTGTTAGAAACAGAATCTTTGTGTTCTAGCTGCTTTTAATAATAGCTCCCTCTAATTGAAGGGAGGCCATTACATTTACAAAGTATCTCTTTTTAGCTTTTCTCTTCCTCTGGTAGAATAATGACTATCAAGGTTGAGATCTCCCATACTTTCTTCCTGCTGTGAAATACCTTGGTCCGAGAAGGAAGTTAATGAGATAATAAACCTAGTAAGTGCCCAAAACCAAACATAGAGGCATGTAATAAAGGTGACAGATAGCCATGAATGCACAAGAGAAATCACCAAGTATAAAAATGACAGAGGCCTAGAAAAATGAATAAAGGGCAAATGCATATTAAAAAGCACATTGAACAAGTGAAGCAGCTGTATTAAAAGGCACTAAGAAAAATTATAACAAAATGTTTAACCAGGAAAGAGACAATCAGATATTTTCAAGTGCATCTTGGGGATGTTATTTTTATCCAATTTAATGGCACTCATTTTGTCTACCTCAATGTGATGCAAGGCTGTGTCAGAAAGGGTAAATTGAAATTGAACATGCAACCCCCAGGGGTTGAATATATTTTTCTGATGAAGCATTAGCCCACCGAACTATCTCTGCTAACTACCCTTTCAGGGTTACATGCTTTTCGGACGCCAAATGGATGAGTGCATCAAAAAGGCTGCAGAAGGCAGTAAAGCCTTATTGCCAAGCAGGGGCGGACTGAGAGCCTTTGGGGCCCCCGGGCAAAATTAGATCCCAGGCCCTTTGAAGGCCAAATATATGTGCATTAAATAAATGTTAAATATAACTCATAAAACGGCATTCCTTTGGATGTGTATATTGCGAAGACCTGTGTATCAATGCATGTTTGTATTTGAGTCTGTGTGAATGCACTTGTGCATGTCTGGATGACTACATGTGCTTTTTTGTATATAGTGTCTGTGTGAATGCATATGTGACAGGTGACAGAGTGTTTGAGGGAGAAGGTGACAGGTGGAAGAGTGTGGGAGGTTGTGACAGGTGGCAGAGTGAGGGGGTACCTGGTGGCAGAGTGAGGGAGGGAGGGGTGGGTTGGTGGCAGAGTGAGGGGGAGACACAGTGAGTGGTGGTGACTGGTGACAGAGTGAGGGAGTGGGTGACTAGTGACAGAGGGATGGAGAGGGGGTGATTAGTGACAGAGGGATGGAGAGGGGGTGACTAGTGACAGAGTTAGGGAATGGGTGACTAGTGGCAGAGTGAGGGAGGGAAGAGGTGACTAGTGGCAAAGTGAGGGAGGGAAGAGGTGACTAGTGACAGAGTGAGGGGATGACTGGTGACAGAGTGAGGGAGTGACTAGTTACAGAGGGAGGTAGTGACTAGTGACAGAGGGAGGTAGTGACTAGTGACAGAGGGAGGTAGTGATTAGTGACAGAGTGAGGGAGGGGGTGACTGTCACTAGTCACCCCATCCCTCTGTCACTAGTCACTCCCTCCCTAACTCTGTCACTAATCACCCCCTCTGTCCCTAGTCACCCCCTTCCTCACCTGTCACCTCTCTCTGTCACTAGTCACCCCATCCCTCTCTCTGTCACTAGTCTCTCCCTCCCTAACTCTGTCACTGTGAAGGAAGGGGTGACTGGTGACAGAGTGAGGGGATGACTGGTGACAGAGTGAGGGGATGACTGGTGACAGAGTGAGGGAGTGACTAGTGACAGAGTGAGGGAGTGACTAGTGACAGAGGGAGGTAGTGATTAGTGACAGAGTGAGGGAGGGGGTGACTGTCACTAGTCAACCCATCCCTCTCTCTGTCACTAGTCACTCCCTCCCTCACTCTGTCACTAATCACCCCCTCTGTCCCTAGTCACCCCCTTCCTCACTCTGTCACCCCATCCCTCTCTCTGTCACTAGTCACCCCATCCCTCTCTCTGTCACTAGTCTCTCCCTCCCTAACTCTGTCACTGTGAAGGAAGGGGTGACTGGTGACAGAGTGAGGGGATGACTGGTGACAGAGTGAGGGAAGGGATGACTAGTGGCAGAGTGAGGGAAGGAAGGGATGACTGGTGACAGAGTGAGGGAATGACTGGTGACAGAGTGAGAGAGGGGGTGACTAGTGACAGAGTAAGGGAGGGAGTGGGTGACTAGTGAGAGTGAGGAAGGGGGTGACACAGTGAAAGAGTGAGGAAGGGGGTGACCCAGTGAGGAAGGGGGTGACACAGTGACAGAGTGAGGGAGGGGTGACTAGTGACAGAGTGAAGGAGGTGGTGACTGTCACTAGTCACCCCATCCTTCCCTCTGTCACTAATCACCACCTCCCTCACTCTGTCACTAGTCACCCCTTCCCTCCCTCACTCTGTCACTAGTCACCCCCTCACTCTCTCTGTCACTAGTCACACCCTCTCTCACTCTGTCACTAATCACACCCTCCCTCACTGTCACTAGTCACACCCTTCCTCTCTGTCACTAGTCACACCCTCCCTCACTCTGTCACTAGAATGAGGGGGTGACTAGTGACAGAGTGAGGGGGTGACAGGTGACAGAGTGAGGGAAAGGGTGACTAGTGGCAGAGTGAGGGAAGGAAGGGGTTACTAGTGACAGAGTGAGGGGATGACTGGTGACAGAGGGAGGGAGGGAGTGGGTGACTAGTGACAGAGGGAGGGATGGAGTGGGTGACTAGTGACAGAGGGAGGGGGTGACAGTGACAGAGTGAGGGAGGTGGTGACTGTCACTAGTCACCACCTCCCTCACTCTGTCCCTAGTCACCCCCTTCCTCACTGTCACTGGTCACCCCTTCCCTCCCTAACTGTCACTAGTCACCACCTCCCTCACTCTGTCCCTAGTCACTCCTCCCTCTGTCCCTAGTCACCCCCTCCCTCTCTGTGTCACTAGTCACACCCTCCCTCACTCTGTCACTAGAGTGAGGGGGTGACAGAGTGAGGGAAGGGGTGACTAGT